ACCCCGACCATCCTTAGTTGTCTTAAATATTCGAGTACCACACCCTACATACGAGGGTATTCGAACCCGTGACCTGAGGAGACTTACAACCTTCAGAAAGGTTGCTCTACCAACAGACTATAGTACGCGCATGCATGCGCACACACACATGTATGTATGTGTGTGTGTGTATTAATAAGCCCAAAGGCTAATACATTAAAAAGAAAAGATACAAATAGGTTGTATGGGTGGGCCTAAAAATTGGCACCCAACCCACACGATACAACACACCAAAAAAAGTTAAAAAAAAGGTGTGCATAAAAATAAAAAAGCCCAAAACACCCGGGCGCTGAGAAAAAGGTGGTCATCGCAATCTTGTTTTGCCTCTGGCTCTAGTTCTCAGAAGGGATCCAGCTAACAGATTGGTAAGGTGTGTACCATTACCCAACGTAACCAAACTACCATCCATAAGACTCCTGAGCTCAAGTAGATCTTCATTTTTCTTCTTCCTCCTGGAAGTGTAAACTTGTCATTTCTCATCCGAAGAATAAGTTTGACGAGGTGGTAGAGCTGAAGCAGAAGGATTACCAAACGTAGTACCCACAATAGGTTCTAATATCTATGAAGTATGGGTTGCCTCTACACTGGATACTTCCTGAAGAGGGTGAGCTGCGAGGTTCTCTTGATTGTCGTTTTGAACACTGTCCTTTGTAGGTAATAGTCCATCAGTATTGTTTTCTATGGCGTTTGAAGATGTCAGCATCACATCACTCGCAGTAACAGTACCATCAATGTCATGAGGGGGGCATAGGGGCAACAATATCCTTCTCAAATGGAACTAAAATATCCAAAGCAGTAGAGTTAGACCCATCCTTATTCACTTGAGCCTTAGCTTTCAAATTAGGATGAAACTTGTGGCATTTATTAAGAATATGCCCACACATCTTACAGTGGGTACAATATGGGATCTGTGTTCCATGACGATTTGTTGTCAATATCCATAGAGGGGGGCATAAGGGCAACAATATCCTTCTCAAGTGGAAATAAAACATCCAAAGCAGTGGGGTTAGACCCATCCTTATTCACTTGAGTTTTAGCTTTCAAATTAGGATGAAACTTGTAGCATTTATTAAGGATATGCCCACACATCTTACAGTGGGTACAATATGGCATCTGTGTTCCATGACGATTTGTTGTCAATATCCATTATGGGTAGAAAAAAATGCAATGGGAGACCAGGTAGACTAAACAATATCCATTATTGTTGTCAAAACCTGATGGTGAAAAAAAATGCAACTTGAGACCAGGTAGACTAAACAATATTAGTACAGTGGGAGTTTCATGATTTGGGTAAAAATCAAGAGACCACTTGAACAACTTCATTGATTTATCTGCGATATTAAGATATTTCTTGGAGAAAATTCAGGTCTAGTCTTCAGCCACTGTTAGTTAAATCACCACATGTTTTTCATCCATGAGTCTCACTTTCCACTTGTTTGGTAGCTTAAGATCATCGACACTCTTTTTTATAGCATCCATAGGTGGGGGTGCCCCCATTGAAATTTTCCAATAAGAACAAACTTGAATTTTTCCGTCATGGTAGAAATTTCTGAGTCAGAGAAAAAAATAGTCAGCTACTTCCCTTCTTAACAAAAGGTCAATCATCTGTATCATCGCGACAATCCACCGCGGACTCCACCTGAGGCTTACCCATGACGTGGGCAAAGAAGGCCTTCGTCGGTTCAGCGAAAGAAGAAGAGCCATCAGAAAAGGGGAGGTATCGGCGATCACCTACAGCGAGAAGCAACGACAATGTGTCGGGAAGCATGGCGTCGGGTCGGAGAGAAGCACGGGCATAGACGGAACGAAGAAATGTAACCTTTCGGCATCGAAATCAAACAGAAACAACGAAAACACGAACTGTGTCGCGTCGTAATGACGCAGACCCAAGCCGAGTCAAGGTCGAGACAGAGCGAGCCAACGACCAACAGGGAAGACGTGGCGAGAAGGGACGACGCCTGAGAAGACGCAGCGAGGAATGATCTGATGCGAATATGCTGGTTAATAAGATTCGATAACAGTTGTTGGGGTTCGCCATGAGTCGAAACTCTAGCAGAGCTGATAGCGAGAGTATATGTATATATATGTATATATATATATATATATATATATATATATATATATATATATATATATAGGTAATATGATTTTTTCACACTTTTAAATATATGAATATGAATGAATAACTAAATGAAATGAATCATATACGTTTGCGGCGATTTAGTTTGACTGATTCTTTACCAGCTATGTCCAATTTTACAAGTCAAGATATGTGATGGCGACAATATAATCTGATCGATTTGTCCGTCTCTGTAGCACTACAGTTGACCCCTAAAGTGGGGCTAGATGAGGTGTGACATCTCATATCAATTATAGTACTAAATTTGCAGTTAAAATAATCTTATGCCAATAACAATATGACTCAAGTCCTCTATTCACATGATTTTGTAACCAAATGGCACCACAAAGCAATTACAACCAAATCCCTGTGATAGGTTAGTTTGCAATCAAATGTCATCATTATATGCGGCTATAACCTGTATGTTCTCCAAAGGCCCTTCTAATAAGGTTGTTTACAATCAATGTTCATCATTATATTAAAGTTATGGCTATGACCAATATGTTCTCTAAAGGCAGTCTTTCCCTTTGAGTTGTTAATCATAGAGGATATTTGATAGGGCACGAAGTCCTCTGTAAGCTAAGTTCAACTTACATTAGTCCTCTTAGACAGATATTCATCTAGCTCTATAAGGCTTTATTGGACGAAGCAACTCATGGCCGCTGATAAAGATTATTATTTCATCAGATTGGATTGACAACCTCCTCTAATAAAATAAACCAGGGACCGTGACAATCTGGGATGACGAAACCATGAGATATTGATCGGTTTTGTCATTATTTTACCATCTGCTCTAAGCTCATAGTGATAAATTATAATTTCAATTTTACATTTGTTGCTACTATATGTTAAATTTGAATACATAGTGCTTAATGGATAGCCTTTATCGAAACTACTCTCCCACTATCGAAATGGGTAATTAACCGTAGAGGCTTGTGCCTATGATAAACTTGAACCCGATTTTAAAGTTCTCACAAAATGAGGGAAAAATCTCTGGGTGGTATCTTATCAAATATTTCATCTATCTTTAGAGAAATTGACTCGGAACCTTATGACAAACTCCCTCATTCTCATTTCCATTTTCCTTTTGATGGAGATCAGGGTATTCCAATTTTAAGAGACCACACTTTTTATAATTTTGTCGCCTTTCAATTTCCTTTACATGGTGTGATTCAAGTAAAGTTTAATACAAAGCTAAATTATAAATCTAATTCAAATTGCATTCAATTTAAATTTACTTGAAACAAAGGAATGATGTGTTTTGTGCTAGTATATCTCTACGAAAACTTTTTGAGATTTAAAAACAGATAAAATAATGTTACTTTTTCAATCATTAGAAGAGCTGCTAAAGTTCTATTAAAACTTCACCCAAAAAAAAATGGTAGAAATTACACTTTCAATTTGTTTCAGGTATGTTACTCATCATAAGCTATCAAAGGGGCACAAATCATTGCTCGAGAAAGGTCACAAGTAACTGCATTCACAGTTTTTTCAGACCTTAAAACAGCCTAAAAGGATTTCTAAAACTAAAAATAACAAATATTGTACTACCTCATTTAACAGGAAAAAAGGGCATCCAATCTTATTGCATTGAAAAATATGAAAATTTAAAGTTTCTCTAAGAGGTGTCATGGAAATTGAATTTCATTAAATAATCTTTAAATGATAGAGTCATTATGGATAGCCGAAGGCTCATGAATGATGCATAAAGGCAAACAATGTTATTAAGTGCACTGCAGCCCTTTAAAAGAGCCCACCTATAACCCAAAAATTTCAATAAAGCTATAAATAATGAAGTCAATAATAATTTGTCCCAAAGATGACAATTTATAATAATGCTGCAGACCCTCCATTAAAATTCAAATTATCATTATTTCATGTTTGCACCTGAAGAAATTGAGTTACTTTTTATTCAGGGGTACTAGATTTATGAAATCAAATTTTCTGTCTTATCCGTATTAATTGCATTATCCTACTCGCATTAGAAAACCAGAACCCTAAACTATCATGCATCAAGTGCTAGATTCAAGGTTTGGCCAAATCAAATGCCTAACATAATTGGCTCCCTAGAACATATCCCTGATGGTAGAGGAATAGGAATGACTCCGCATTATTCCCTACAAAAGCTTATGATAGAATGAGTACTATAGAGCGCTACGGCCAATGGAACTTAAAATGTCTCCACCCAGCATGAGGATTTAAGATGGCACATAGAGAGAGAATTTGAAGATTTGCAAAGCCAATTCTGAGCATTGATTTAATCTTAAAACTGATAGTTGAAAAATATTCTATAGATAAATAGTGGTTGCACCCTGATGGTAAGTTCGAAGGGAGGTTCACACAAGTTTAATTCTGAGCTTCATCCTCATTTGACGCACAGTTCTTAACAACATACTTCCATATTATTGCTGGGTTCAAAGCGACGGCAACAACTATTATGATGTTTATTAAATCAAGTCAGTTTCCATCCTATCCAGTGGGTTGGCACATCTCAAATAACTGCCTTATTAATAAATAATATCTAATACTGTAATTGTACTTGTAAAATAAACAAATTTTGGTAGCTAGCGTAATTCATTTACACATGATAGTAGCTCAAAAACTAATAAGCCAGTCGTCATCTATCCTAAACTAGTTGGCCAAGCACTTTTAGTCAAATATAGAATAGTTTGCATTGAAAAGAAACCGTTCAATCAGATTAATCAATCTATTCCTATGCTTTTGACACTACCCATAACTTGCTTAAAACACAAAATAAAAGCCAACTAAAGTTGTGGCTGAAAATACAATTTAAAAATTAAAAGGATAGGTTTAAAAATATAAAAGGACTATAATAACTCACCTACTTCCTTAGAAGACGGCTTATTCCTTTTCAAAGATCTGCATAAGCAAACTACTAAAACCATAATAATAACAACAATTAGAAGTGCAGCACACACGCCCACAATCATGGTTAGATTTCGATGGTTTCCACCACTAGCTTCATCATTTGGTTTGTGCAAATAGGACATTGAAGGAGGTGGAGACCTTGGCAGGATTGCTAGGGCCGGAGCTGGAAGAAAAAAGACAGCAAATGAATTCATATCAATAGCAGAACAAGCCAGGTTATAAACAAAACTAACAGAAAAATAAAGGCATAACTACATATGTTGCTGCAGCAAAGCATAGATTCTAGAGTCTTTATGCTTAAGTTGAAACTTTTTAAAACAACTAAGAATTGATAAAATAAAAGGTAAAAACAAAAAAAATTTCAGTTTAAAAAATGCAAGTGTTTTACATAGGGCTAGATAATTAAACTACAGAGGCATTAAACCACAGATGTACTTAAAACATAAGCTATACAGTTCTTCGGAAATAAGAAATAATACGTTTGAGAGACTAATTTTATCAAGATAAGCACAAATTTTAATATTGATCATTTTATGTTAAATGCAAATTAACCTTTTGTTTTGTTTTGTTTTTTTTGCCCGATAAAGTACAGTTCAAATTTTGTTACAAACACCAGAATGCAATAATGAAGAATGCTAGAATAGCAACTAGTGTAGATTCCAATCATAAAAAAAAAAAAATAGGCTATCTAATAAAATAGATATAATAAGTCTTCCTTGAGAAAATTCTCTCCTCCGTAAGCCCTAAATGGCATAGAATATGTTAACTTGAGTTTGGAAACATAGTGACTAAAGATAAAGTAGTCAAAAATTTTGGCAACAAGAGATTACAAGTGTCACAAATAATCACAGTTGATCCTGTAAAGAAGAAAGAGTGAAACAGATGCAACAAGTTAGCAACAAAATAAAAACTAGAGAAGAATGGATGAGACACTAAAATGGAGATATCAATAGAAGGCATCAATGGAGCATTAAAAAAGAGTGTCGATATAATAAGAATAAGAGAAACTTATGTAGTTGTCGTCAAAGAATTAAGATTGATCACAGAGATGCATATATCTACGAGAAATAAAAGAGACCAAGTTCCTCATATCAAGAGCAAAGTTAAGGATCTCACGACAATAGACGCCGGTAGAGCGCAAAAAAGTGGCACTTAGAAGTAATTGTGAGAGCAGGTCAATGTAGATTTGAAGTATGAGTGCGGCATTGCCGAAGTGTGTACAGAAAATTAGGCATAGGCATTCTAGGCGAAGACTTTGATACCATGCTATAAGGGACATAATTATAAGATACTATATATTCACTCAATTATTTTCCTTATACAAGCATTTGTGTTTATATATGAGAAAATCAGAGAAGATTCTAGATGAAATCTAAAAAGATCCTCGAAGATTTGATTAGGACAATTTAGAAAATTGTTGATTAGTTTATTCCCTTCTTATTCTATGCTATTTTATTTTTTATTTCAGAATTATTATCTTTGCTAATTTAGAATAGATATATTTGGTAAGTTCGTAAATTATGAGGGATTGTTTTCCCTATATATATGTACCATACATGTGAGTAAAATGAATCAAGAGAATTATTCCTCTCCAAACTTGTTTTTTACATGCTATTAAAGTCTTGGAATAAACCCTAGCTTCCAATAGCCACCATAATCTCCTCTGCTGATCTTCAGGCTTGCGTCTTCTTCAAGGCCCACATTTTCACCGCATCTTTACCTGAATCTCCTCCTTCCAACAGGTCACTCCTCCCTACGGACTTCTTATCAGGTGTTCCACCCTAAAAGCCCCAGTCAGCTTCCTCCCGAGTGTTCCTCCCTACAAGCCCTAGCTGGCTTGTCTCCAACCGGAATTTCCCTGTCGCAGGCCTGCCACTGAATCTGATTCTCCCTGTTGCAGGCCCTTCTCTGCCTGAAGCCTCCCAACGTCTCTTCAGCAGCAGCAAAAGTAACTTTTCTTTAACTGAATTCTCCTTGTTTCTCTGCCAAAAATCTCCTAGGTTTCAAGAGCAACAACAATGTCTTTTCCTGCAGCAACTACGACAATGTCTCTCCTTGCAGCAGCAATAGCAACGCCTTTTCCTATAGTAGTGACGCCTCTTATAGCAGCTGCAACAACAACAACACCTCTAAATTCTCCACCCTACAACTAAATGTCTTCCTGTATGTCCTTCGTCAAAACTTGCCCCAACAACAGGCCCTCCATTAGAGCTTTTCTCTACAATCTCTAGTGTTGGATTTTTCCCTACC